TACGACCAATTGTTTCCAACATAGGACTGCTTCATATCCTTTGGCCAATATTTAGTTCCAATTTTCTCCTCTACTTGCTAACAATATTCACACTGTAAAAAATTCTGTTGAAGTCATTGATAAACTTAAAAATATTTCCCCCTTCGTTCCATTATGGTTTCATTTGATGTCAAATCATTTTTCTAATGTTCCGGTCGAAGGAGCACTAAATTGTCTTGAACTAGGCTTCGGGAATTTCACTTCACACATACTGAAATTAATGAGTTGGTTTCGCTTACTAAAGTTTCTCTAAGTCAAACCCACTTTGTTTTCCAAAATGCATATTTTCGTCAAGTTGAAGGATTGGCTATGGGTATCCTCTCAGTCTGGTACTTGCTGACATTTATATGCACTATTTTGAGATGAAATTATTTGATAAATTATCTTTTCGTCTTTGGATTCGGTATGTTGACGACACTTTCGCACTTTTTGACGGTTATAAAGAGGATTTATCGAGATTCTATCTATTATGAATTCAATTGATGCAGCCATCCAATTCACTCTTGAAATTGAATCCAACAATTCCTCCCCTTCCTCGATATTCTTATAATCCGCAATGAAACGATTTTAGCACCACTGTGTACCGTAAACCCTTTGCAGTTTGTTACCACCCCATGCCAAGTTATGCCACCCTGTTAAGCAAAAAAATGGCTTCTTTTTTACTATTATGTTTTCCGCGCGCTAAAAGTTTGTTCCTCTGAATCTTTGCTTACCAATGAACTTAATTATTTGAGAGCAGTTGCGATTGACCGTGGATTTTCTCCCGTGATTATTGATAAAGCCGTCAAAAAATTTTCAGATTCCCATCAAAGAAGACATTCCACTGTTAGAAATAATATCAATGACCTGTCGTGCTTCCATTTTATCCTTCTGTTGCTATAAAATTGCACGGATTCTCCAGAAATTCAATTTTCAAGTCGGTTTCTCCCCTATTAATAAAATTCACCCTTCGATTCTAAAAAGATTGCGTTTCTGTCTTGAATTCTTGGGGAATTTATAGTATATCGTGTCAGTGTGGTTTAAGATATATTGGCCAAACAAAAGAGCGTTGAAGTTTCGTATCAAGGAAACATGAATCTTATGTCAAAAAAGGCGAAATTAACAAGTCTTCAATAGCGTATCATAGTTGGACTTTTAACCATAATTTTGATTTTGGGTCTGCAAAAATCATCCAAAAGGCTTCTTCCATAGGTGAATTGGATTTTCTTGAGGCTTTTTCACATTCACAAAGATTTAGAAGGTTTAGTTAATGATTTGAAGTCCAATCCAGTCCTTCCTAATGCCTTTAAAATTCTACTATCTTAATTCAGTTATTTTTGCCGATAGATGGCGTTACCTCCTCGCACTTTGGTACTACCAGAGGGTATAAAAATCCGTTCAGTGGTTGCTTTCCATTATTTGAAGTTCAGATTTTGAGCGTACGTAAGTGCATTTGCCCCTCGCTCCCTATTTTTAACTTCGCTAATATTTCTTTATGCTTGATCAGATAGCCTGGCTCAGTAAAAGTAGGCGGCCAGTGCAACTCTGATTAAAAATCTAGTTATAACGACGTGCAGTGCTGATAAGCACCACGTGTTTCTGTGATTTCTCCTATTTTCTTCTTTCTATGTATTTCTTTCTCCTGATGAGGAGGGATCTTTAGCTGCCCTCGAAATCGATTGAGTGTTTCATTATACCTACGCTAAATATAAGGTTGTTTTTCACGGTTTTGATTGCCAGTAGTTTTAACTTTTGCGTTTGTAAAAGCTAAAGGCACATTATAGTGAAAGTTCTTCAGTTGCAAAAATAAATGAAGCAGGTGACAGAAGATTCAAAACGCAACTGTTTCAATATTTGAGGAATTGCCAGATGGTTACTATAAAATGTTCAAAGCCTTATTATTATTACAACGTTTATTTCAGTAATGATTGATTATTCAGATTGGTTTCAAATTTATGATTATGAGATGCGTTTCATATTTATTTCTGTTCTTGCTCTTAAATCGAACCGATTATATATTAATGAATATACTTATATTTGAAACTAAGTAAAGGAAATATGATTTCCTTTCATACATACATATCTTAAGACCTTTAAAGAAAGGTTCCTAATCTAAACATTTCACACGACATCTGGAAGGTAAGAATTTCGAAGACTATTATTTATGCCTCCTCTTGAAAATCAATAGCATAACAGATGAATTATTTGGCATACTAAAATTAGGCCATGTCCTAGAATGCGCAAACATTATTTTTCGATACACGCAATAAATAAGTGCTGTAAGGCTATTTACGTATTCAGAAAACAATTTTTTCTTTAATGATTTTTTTATGCAAGTTACCAACTTTTTGATGATTTTGTTGTAGAAATTTATTTCTGTTTATAGAATGTACAAATAAAAATATTTGTAATCTCTATAATGATGTAATTTATGAAACAAATCGATGAATATGGAATCTTAATGTAGTTCTGGCCATTTTTTTTTCGAACACCAGCTTAAAAAGGTCAAGGTCTTTTTCCACGTTTTAGACATAAATATGTATAACTTATCCATTTTAATTCTTGCATACGAAAAATATCTTGAAATTTATATTGTTTTTAATTAATTAAATATGTTCTTAAATTAATGTTTTTGTGTTTTAAAAATGCAAAGTGTTTATCTATTGCTTTTGCACAACCTGCATTTAGAAGACAGTATGAATCATAACCCGTAAGGCATGTGAACACTCTGCAGTCATACTGGTATGGTCACGGCACCATAAATGTGGTGTTGCTGGCCATGATCGTATAAAGTGACGATACTAAGAATATCAAGTACAAATTAATTTTGCGTAAATACTTAAACTAAAATTTGGTGTTTAGTACATTGCATAATCATTACTAAATAGATTAACAAGACTTACCCACTGATGCATGCATGAGCCGAATATTTTCTTTTCCAATCTCATATTTATTTTAAATACACATACTTTCTGGATTAAATAAGACACTTTATCACACACATATACATACTAAAATATCAAAACTTAGCTACTCGCAATGCGATAACTCAAATGGAATGTCCGTGGAGTGCCGACGCGTGACTATTCGCGCAATCCTGTTCCACGAATAATTTGCGTTGAAACGTTGGTCAATTTTTCTTCGTATTATCGCGCTGTATGGTTACACTTATAAGCTCTTCTTTTTTCCTTTTTATTCATATGATTTTTACACACGTCACACGTGGTACACATTGCTGGTCAAGCACATCTTGAAGTCGACAGTTACTTATATTCTGCTTGCGCGTTTATTTATGTTATTCACAAATCAAACATCTACTTTAAGAACTGGATTTCTTCATTCTGCTTCTTTCTCGGCAAAATTAGACAGGAACAAATGGCGACTGCTGAGTGTGTGTGGCCCGAAGGCCCCACACTCGCTAAGCTCGACGTCAGGCAGCAAGAGGGGAAAACAAAAAGGGAGAGACAAACCAGTCCTTCCAGTTTTTATACCTTTCGACGCACGTGCTCGCGCGTGATAACGATACAAGAATCGATGTAGCCACAATGTTCTCACAGTAAGTAAGAGCATCAGATGGCCCGTCGATTCTAATGGCACGTTGGAGAAAGCCAGAGCTTTGCGTGTTCTCCACCAACATCAACAAATCGCGCTAGCCGTGAATTTGGTATTACACATTCAAGCATTTAGAAATTTCTGCGACTACAAATCAAACCATACCGTTAGCAGATGTTGCAACATTAACAGCCAGATAATTATATCAAGCCATAAGAAGTTTTAATCGTGAACAAGGGCATTGCAAGAAGGCGATTTTCCGCCCGTATAATAATATTCATTAACGAATAACTACGTCTTCTACGCAACTTTACAGCAAAAGTTTATGGCCCTTTTGTAATCCGAGAACATTGTGACGGAATGTGCTGTATCTTGGTATTTTGCAATTAATATTATTCCCAGAAGTTAAAGATGTTCGGAAAATTTCATGCTGCAATAAAATTGGGCTTTAATTCATTGCCCTGATGAGATACATCTCTACTTGAATGATGAGTCCCCTCTACATTGTTAGATAGTTGAATACGGGAGAAATGATTTAACATTGTTGTGAGGACCATCAATGCCCCTCCACTTTACTGCCAGTGATTTTTTTTTTCTCTTGGGATTATATTAAAGCGATTTTATGCATCTTTACTGCTAGCAGCATTAGAAGAGGTCTGTAACCTTATTACAGCTGCTCTAGCAGCTATAATGAGGACAGAATTCGAGTACCATTTAGATGGACAACATGTAACATACTGCAAGTACATATTAAAAAAATGGTAATTGTATTATAACGGCTTCCGGCTGAAGACTGTACTGACTGAAGCCAACTTCCGGCTGAAGACTGTACTTATTAATGTAAACAGAATTATCGTAAATGTTATGACGGAGTTGCAGCGTAATTTCTTAATATCTTGCGCTCTTTAGGATGATGACAGACAACAGTATATCGCAAAGGATGCATTTCGCAGTCTTTAGGTTGCTTTTATGACAAGCCGAAACAACCGGTAGTATCATTTACAAGCTGGTATTCGGGTTATCTGCACATCGTTTCGGAAGACTGAATAGGCCCTCAAGAAGGCATTAACTGGAAATTCTGTAGAAACATTAATATTTAAAAGGCTATAAAAAAAGGAGTTGGAATTTGAGTTTGAGGAGAATTTTTCTTGTGGAATATAGACGCAAAAAAAAAAAAATGACTTGCATTAGAAAATCTAACACACTAGCATTTGTTGAATGTGGTGTGGACAATATCAAAAAAGCACGAACTACTTTCAAGCTTCTGTTATTTTTAAAAAGTGATCAGCGTTAAAAAATTAAAAATGTCCTTTCTTTAGGCTTTAATTTCTTTACAATATTAGATTTAAGTTTTGTTAAACTCAGATACATAGAAGGATATTTACTTATTCCGTTCATTACCCAAAGTAATGACGTATCTTTATTTTCAGCAAAGAGATCTGTGATGAGCAAGGTCCAGGAGAGTTCGTTATGTGTCCTCAGTGTAATCGTCGTTGTGATTATTGGAGGCTGAAGGAAGGGTGCCTATTTAGTAAAGTAGGTATAATATTAATAGCTCTTTTTATATCTTTCAATATTTGTAAATGCTAAGTATCAGGAAAAGCGTAGCTCAGATTTAGAAGGTTGAATTCTAGAATAAGAAATAAAAATAATTACACATAATGACGCATAGAACTGAATAACAATCTAAAGTTTCTGTTGCAACTTTCAGGGACCAAACACAAAGGCCAGTAGGTTACATTACATGTGAGTATTAATAGAGGGCCGAATCCCCGTGGTTCAATTACATACAATGATGATGTTTTAAGAGGTAATGCTTCAACTATAGACAAATAACAGCCACTAGACCGTCAATCCCGAAACGGCTGCTTTTGTTAGCTGGGCGAGTTCAATTTACACAGGTAAGAAGAAGAGAATGGAAAGGTTCTGTAATGGCTTGCAACGGGAAGAGTTTTAGATTGGCGGAACGACTTTTGGTAGGCACTAGAGATATGCTTCCTAAACCGTGGAAGGAGTTTCACTGAGTATTTTTATGCTCTATGTTTTATTGAACATTTTGTTTAAGGACGGATTAATTTTTATCAATTCATGAAACAAAAATAATATTTTGAAGAAAAATGAAATGTAAAACTGTACGCATTCTATGCTCATTTAATCTTAAAAGCATAACGTTGGCGAATACTAATCTATTTCTTCCACGAAATCTAATATTACTAGAATGTTATTTCGTAAAGTAACTAAGTATTACATGAAGTTAAATAAGTAACGTACATTTTTATTTACTTGAGGTATTGTAGAAAAATTGTAACTGTAAATTTTTATATCATAATATTATCGTGTACGATAACAACAAACATAATTATTAATTTTTTTTATCTGGTACACAAATAAATAATGTATTTTAGTTGATATATTTTGATGAGCTTTAAAGGGCCTATCTTTATACGAAAAAGAGTGTATTCACTTGTGAAAAACAATTAGTTTTAATGCCATTTGTTAACAGTATTATCCCATCCAGATCTTAAACTTTAATGCGAATTTTTAAAATTAGGTAACAAAATTAAAAAAAGAGGGACGATTAATAAAAATAAGAATAAATATTAATTCGTACTAACGAAACGCTAGCTGCACTCACAAAGCACGAACCGGAAATAATGTAGCGTCATTTCCTCTCTTCCTACCTCATCGCTAATTTCTAATAGGCTCTATAGGTATCCTCTAGTGCTTCTACTTTCAAGTACCATACCTACAAATCTTGGACTCTTCCAGCAAACAAAAGCAGCCATTCCGGGTTTGAGCGCCTTCTATAACAGCCACCAGCGGTACAGCGTTAAAGTCGCTAAACACTGCTAGTTTGACCTGGGTTCGATTCTAGGAAAACAGGCTTGCTGCATGAGAATTTTCGCGGTTTTTCCTATGTGTAACGTAAAAGTACTGCCTAGTTTTCCTTAGACAGTCATGCACGAAGGCATTCCTCTCCTTAGGCAGATAACCCCTCGTAATTTGCCATAATCAAATAAAATAAAACAACTACACACAAAGACAAACAGCAGTGACGTCGTGCTCGGGCGTGTTGATTTAAACACAAACAAAACATAACGAACAACGATACTCGGATATTGCTTTTTGGTTTAAATACAATTAGAGAAGCGAACCACAGAGCTCTACTTCAGGCATTTTGGTACTACTTTAGGCGTCAGATGCAAGGATAGGCAAAACGCAGCTGGATCCTATATGCTGATTTAACTAGAAGCACACATACGAAGCAGAAGGTCCTATTTCGCAGACACTTAGTTTAACAGCAACCAAAGGCAAAACGCAGCTACATCTAGACTCGTTCATGCGCTAATTTCAAGCTTTAATTTCAAGCAAAGGCAAGAAACTAATGCATGCAATAACTTAACATATTGTCCTTTTTTAGAAAAGGAAACATGGCGTAAGATGTTAATACAGTTCATTATTAAAGTCCAAATAGGGATTTTGATCAAAAGATGATTAAAAAACTAAAACGTCTTCTCTAAGTGCTCTGACTATGTTTATTAACCCTTTGCGGCACAGTGTGTCCGGTTTCCTTCTGTACGCACAGAAAAATTGAATGAAAAAGGATTTATAGGTTACTATAAACCTTCTTTATTTATAGTAGATGGCAGCTCAACCAAGCCGTCAATATTTTAGCCAGGTTAGTTTTTTAAGAACCTATGTTTCAGAATTTCCAGATTTTTTAGGGTTAAAAGGAATTGTTGAAAGAAATTTCTATGTTATTTTTGGCTGTATATGCTCATTATTCTATATTAGTTTTAAATTTTACTGAAATCTTGTCTAAAAATCAACGGCGAACGTAGGGTCCCGACCGGGCACCGATAATCTAGGACACTGGAGTCTGTATTCTTGTTTTCTGCATTCATCGGTCATTCATTGACAACAATGCTCGTTCAGTACTCTTTTCGAAGCTCTATTCCAATCGTGTACCTACTTGGGGATACCCACGAATTAAAGAAAGTGCTATCTCACAAAATGTTCTTGGTACCCTCTAGGCCTAATTAGACTGCCTACCTTTTTTTTATCAAAACTCCAACTTAAAAAGGTAGCGTGCCGGAAAGGGTTAAAGTGTAATACGTTTTTGTAAACGCATCATCTGTACAAAGTTTATCAAGGTACAAGATTTAATTTATCATCTATGCAAAGTCATGATAGAAAAGATGAATTGAAGCCAGAATGATTTAAACCTGGAAAATGTTCTTTATCGTAAAAGTATTATATTTTTAACCTATAGGAAAAGAAAATTTTGCAATCCCCGACTTTTAAATTCGATTTTCGTAATCTAAAATGCTCACTTCAGAATTAAAATATCGTGTTACAGTAATATTTCTACAAAACACCAATGGCATGTTTCCAATAAACGAAAATCGAAGATATAATATTGGTGCTTTGTTATGATAGCAGCAAATGTCAACTTAATTTTCAAAGCTATCTGTTAAGTGTTAATTCTTGCGTAACATAGCTTGCTGTCATGCTTCAGCAGAGAACCGAGCTCATGAAAAATTACGTATTTCTTCAGTTCTTTAGTTAATGAAAATTGGAATCTGTAACATATCTAAATAAAAGATTTCTTTGAAAATTCAATGACAGCTGGATGTTCTTGTTATTTTAGACGACGAATACATATTTTCGAAATTTTATTTTAATAACTAATGAATAGATGAAATATAAATATTTCCTGTTAACTTACGTGGGAAGTAAGAGAGGAAGCCAAGCGAAAGTAAAATAATTTTACAGTTTGTTTTGAATATTTAAAATTACATACAAGTTTTCGTAACCAAATGTAAAAGAAGCATTATAGAGATGTATATTTGTGATTAACTTGATTGTTTATGTTTGTGTAAATTATTCTTTTTGGCTGCAAAAGTTATTTTTCCCACTGTGGCCTCAAGGATGTACAATAATAAAAGTACCTAAATATTATTTAGCTATACAAGCAGTAATACTACACAAAATATCTTTGCTGGTCTATCTCGAGTTATGGCAATACATTCTTTCAGAATTTGGATCTATTACTATTCTGTAGAATATGAAGTCTATAATCTTCTGTTTCAGGCAAAAATTACTCGTGAAATACTCCCTACCGAGCAAAATTAAAGTATCAAGTAAAGGTTAATTAATTAAGGCAAACTCATGAGGGCTTAAGGCGAGAGATGCCTTTATGGAAGACTTTCTAAAGGAAATTGGATCATATTCACGTTACACATATAGCAAACCACGAAAGCGCCCTTACAACTAGCCCGTTTAGCTGTATTGAACTCGGATCAAACTACCAGTGCTGAGCTACAAGTCAATTCGCCAAACACTGGGCTTCTAAAAGCGAAATTTCTGTAACAGATGCGAAGTTTTTCGTACTATAGAAAAGATCGTTATTTGGCCTCATGAGAAGAACCCCTGCTTTCATCATTACTAAAGGTTTATTTAAAGTGTTTAAGATTCTTTGTTCAGAATTGTTCAGGATTTGGTAGAACATGTCATCGTTTCTACCAAATCTTCACTGCTTTTAATGTTTCAGTCTCTGACTATCTAATAAGTACACAAAATATCTTAGCTACGTAAATTAAAATAAAGGGGAAGATTATATTTTAAAAGACCATATTTTAAGTTATGAGGAAACAATATTTTAATGCAAAAAATAATTTAGAAACTAATTGCAATCTTTGGCAGTAGTCATTATTTGGCTAGTTGTTTATTATATTTTATGTAATTGGTGCGAAATTTACGAATAGGCTAAAGAACTATGGATTTCGTCCAAACTTCGGTGTCTTTGCAAAGAATTGAAAATCAAATGCTGAGGTGAAATAGCTAGTAAAACAAATATATTGGTTTATAAGTTATCAGCATCTCACTGCTAATTATATATCACATAAAGAAAACATTGCTGTAAACACTTAAATCTGGTTAAAGCAAAAGCAGCTGGGATTATATTTCCCTTAAAGATATCTCATTTATGGTCTAAACAAAGAAGCAGCTATTCATTTTCCGTTGCTGAATAATTTAAATCTTCTGGGAAGTAAAACATTTATTATTTTATTTACTTCCCAAAAAGTAAAGAAAAAAATTCATTTCACATAAAGCATGAACTGCTGAAATCGGAGTTGTAGTTGGCATAGTAAGGCGATGCTAATTACACGTCCGCATTTTGAGAAGGAAATTACTTAGGCAGAATGTGGCATTAGTAACAATAATCGGCAATTACAAGATGAAAGTTAAAAGTTTTCCAGTGTTTCGACTTATTCTTCGTGATATGCTCTGATTTCGCATTTTATCTTGAGATTTGCTTGGCTACATTTTCAGTGCTGATGTATATTTTGATACTTTTGCAACATGTGGGTGTAATCTGTACAAGGTAAATGCTATAATGTATTAGAGGTATATAAAATATATTAACCTGTCTTCAGCGAATTTACTTTTGTGTATATTTAGTCAATTTAATTTTCCGTCTAACTTATTTTTTCAGGTTACTAGAAAATTGCTAAATAAACTTAAATTACTGAGAATTAAATGAAGTTAAATTTTAATCAATAATTAAGTTACATTATATAAATAATAAGTTGAAATTTTATAAATTTAAATGTATTGTAAATTTTAATGTATCGATAACTTCAAAACGTTCCTTGTCTAATAATTTGTTTTGAAGCTCAAGGTTATGAACCATTTTGAACGCAACCGTCAAATTCTGTTCTTCTTCTTCTTCCTTCAAATTCCATACCACCATTTGAAACTGTATTCTTTCACTTCATTACGGAAACATGGTTCTTTTAATAGTTTTTTAATTATTGAGAAAATTCATAAGTTAAGAAGTCGGACAGTCATAACTTTTTCCACTTTTAGTCCAATAATTTTAAATAAAAAATTCAAAGCAATTTGGTCGTTTCTTGTTAACAGCGATCAAAGAAAGATGACTCAATCTAGACGTGCTCCCTATCTTTTATAGTGTAGTGATTTACGTAAGCTGTTGATTTCCTCGCCTGGGATTCAGGTTCGAACCTTTGTAATATTCGTAATTATAGTTAGTGTCTTCAAGGCCTGATGGAGCTCAAAATGTTTTAGATGAAAAACTTCTAGAAAGATTAATGATAAGGAATGTAGCATGCAAAATCTTTGGATTTCATACCTCGATACCCTTGAAAGTGCGTTCTAAATGTTTAATAATCCAAAGGACTACACAAAATGAAAAATAAATAGGATAATAAAAAATCTGATGTGAGCTGATTTTCTTGTACGGTCTATTAAATACAAAGTATTTTCTCCCTTCTTTCTGCGTCCCTTCGTGGTGCAATTGAAAGCATACTCGACGCGTTATTCTGGAAATCAGGAGTTCGAATCCCGTCGAGCTCATTGCACACTTTTCACGTCTGCTGCTTCAAAATAAACTAATAACTCTACAAAATTAGGCATATTTTTTGCTGCACTTCATTTAAAATTATTTTCTCGAATTTTATTAGAATTACTATTCTAATCAATCAGTCAGTTCAGTTCTCATTCCACGGCAAGGCAAAAATAAATAAAAACTCAACACATCTTCATTAAAAATTGGGGGGGGGAACTAAAACACCTTGTAAGCTTGTAACGAATGCAGTTACAAGCAGTTAAAAAATAAATCTTTGCAACTAAAATCCTAAAGTCAGAGTTTGTACACCAAAACAAACAACACTACCAACGGGTATGAAGGCAAAATTTTAGTGCACCAAAACTTGGCCAGTTTTTCTCCTACTGGGTAGAAAAATACTCAATTTGGTTCACCAACTGATTTAAATCATTATACTACTAAAACTTCCGCCTCGTTACACTTATCTCCACTTAGATTTTTAAATTGTTAATAGTTCTAAAACTATTGTATATAGATTAGCTAAAGGCATAAAAATCCTTAACCGGATCATAAAAACAACATAATTCAATCACTTTTAAAACAAAAACTGCGCAATTTACCACCGTATAAAGATAAAATGACAAAGCTCACCGAGCTGGGTAAGAGAGTTGGTTTATTTATGCACACTTTTGGTACAGCCGATCCCCCCCCCCAAAAAAAAACGGGAAATCCACAATTAGTTGTTGTAACAATCCCATATACAAAAATTCAACATTCTACGTCTAATCCTTTTTGAGTTATACTAGAGACATACATACGTACGTACGTACAGATGTCACAAAAAAATCCCTTTTAATTCCATTTTACAATCCGTATTAGAAAAAAAGAGTCTTTCGTTCTCTCCGCGCACGCTGGAAAAATCATCCGAATGGATTCAGAAACGGTCGATATGGATATTTCCTTTCAAATATGATACCCGAAATTTTTCGCGATTACAATACTTCCTTTATTTCGTACAAGAAAGTGAAAAAGCTAGAGAAAATTAAGCCTCCATACCTAGATCGACTGGAAAATACAGTAGTTACCTAGATATGTACGGCCATTCCAGAACAGATGTTAACATAGTTTATAGGTTCTGAGCCTGGAAAGAAGAATCGCTCTATTAATTGTCACGTCATCTAAAATAACTTCCACAAATACTGTCTTCAGTTTAGCTGGTATGAAACGGCGTCATTTGGTGGTTTTAGAAAACAACACTCAATAAGCCGATGTTGCAACTTGTTTAGGACACAAACGGAGAAAATGCGGCTTATGTAAGTGCAGATTTCGACGGTTCCGAAGGGTCCGGATTTGAATCCCGAGAAGGCATAGTTGTTTGTAAATGTATAGTGTCTTTGCGACATGGGAGCACTCTAAATATATGACGAGCAGAAAGTATTTCGTGTGGTATGGTGGTAGATAAGAGGGCTGGGAGACCCCTGGACCACCACCCCCAGGGTGCTGTCCCTCAAAATTGGGGAAGAAGTAGAAGTCCAACCTCCTTGAAGTTCTGCAACCAATCTTAAATGAAATATGGACTCGACAACAACAATAACAAAGCTGTTTATAAAGTGTATAAACTCTGTATCTAAACTGAGATTTATATAAACCCTAATGCTGAACCATACTGAAGTGTAATAAAACATAATTTATATCAAATCTTGTAAATATTTACATGATTTCACAATATTAAATGTTAAAAGCAATACAAATATGGAGCTTAGTTTGTGTTTATTACACAAAACTGCAAAAAAGAGTTTGTTTAAAAATTAAAGTTTTGTACTGAACAACTTTAGAATTTTGGTTCAGAATATCATGATAGTTTTTTTTAATAAATAAATAAATGCTTTAAAACCCTTGATGGATATCATGCTTTAAAAAGATCCTCTTGCTTAACTTATAATTTTGTGCAACTTTATTGGAGTCAAAATTCTTTGATAAAGCAACGTAAGTTTTCCAAGTAACGTTGTGTTACAAATTAACCATACAAAAATGAAAAATACTAATATCTTTCGAGTTTTAGGTTTTTGCTGTTATTTTTCTAACGTAGTCTTCCTTGTGTTTTTTCTTTATTTTCTAGATAGTCCATTTATTTGATAACGCAGTGACAGTGGGTTTTGCGGTTTTTATGTCTTTATGGGGTAAGATCTACATTTTATTTGTTTGACAGCTTGTATCAATTTCGTGCATTCCCAATGGAGTTTAAAACAAGGAGAAAAGTTTCAGTTTGTAATATTTTGTCTTTCTTTTCTTAGCAACTATGTTTATGGAATTTTGGAAAAGAAAACAAGCGACACTCGCGTGGGAATGGAATCTCGCTGATCTCGATTATGGAATGGTAAGCGTAAAGCTTTCAAATGAATTATTTTTGTTTTTAAGTTGGTACTAACATGTCTAACTTTCTAATAATTATTGCCTTTAGTTTAAAAAAATTATCAAATTTAGTTGCTTTTTGTTCTCATAAAATAAACAGTTTATAGATTAGCAAGTCAGTTTTATATCTGCGTTTTCTTTAACTCCTAAATAAATTTTATTGAAATATCCTTCCCATTTTAAATGCTTAGTAGCTTAAAATAGTAGCTTAAAAACACCTTAACGCATTTTAGTGAAACTTTCTAACATGTTGAAAAATGCTTTCATTTTTAAACGCTTAAAACTATCCAAATCTCGCATCATAATTTTTAAATCCCGTGTTAACTCACTTTTAATTCAGTAAAACTTGCTGAACCATTTGCTCAAATTAAACATTAAAAGTTTAATACATTGCTTTGATCTTGAAAATAATTTTTAAATATGATAATTATAGCAAATACATATAAAATCGAACCTTTTGGATTAGAACAAAGCTTTTGGATTAGATCGGGATTGAATGAAGAGATTCTCTGGAAACTTGCCTAGTGTCGACTGTTCATCACATCGTGTCAGGCATATGTAGACATGGCGTTGCAAATTTCCATAACATGGCTTAATATGCATCCATTTAATCTTATCCTAATGTCGCATTGCTTAGTGATCCTAGTTCGTGACTTGCAGAATCATTATCCGTATAACATCCCTGCCCAAAGAAGTCCAAAATGAGCACAGAGAGCGATCTTAACGGCCACAGAAACTTAAAAATTATGCATCAATTAAAAAACTTCCTTTTCCATGATACTGACTCTCGAGATCGCACCGTATTTCAGTTCATTTTTCAAATATTCCTGTACTAGTTAGTCATCGTCTAGTTATTCCTCGTAGTTTTTTTCCGCCTAGTTCCTAGTTACTTCTGAAAGCCACTTCACCAGAGGTACTAGCAACAATATTGTTACAATACGATTGTATCAGCTCCAGCGAAGGACGGAAGACAACTGATGATATGATGCATACGCATTCAACATAGGCCAAGCTTCCAGACGTTCTGCCAAATTTCTGTCAACTGATTTCTGATGTTTATCAAAAACTGAGTTCGCTTGTATATGAATAATGTATGAAAATTTACATGAGATGTGAACCATTTTGTTACTGTTATCGTTGCCGGATGCCAAGCATTAGTTACATGAGCGCTTGTCCACTTTTAGCATCCAAACATTTTTTAATGTAGTAATTCCCTAAAACTAACACTTGTTTCAAATTGATGAAATCCTGAAAGTCATCAGAATAATAGCCTTTTGCAATCAGCCACTAAAATGTATCTTACAAGCGCTTTCATTTGATGGTAATCTGTATACTTATTGTATTTGTACATGTTTATGTGAATTATTCTAGCTGCAACTTTGTGATAATCCCCTTTGTCATCCAAGCCTTTTCTTGCCCTTAAACGCCCTTTCTATCTACCTTAACGTATGCCATTAAAAGTACTTTACGCAGATTTTTAGTAATTCCTAAAACTTACAAATCATTACATAGAAACATTAAACTTTCTGAAGGTAGCAAAATCGCCTTTTTTCCCTGAATAAGACGAATTATTATGAATCTCAATAACAATATAATTTTGTCTGCATGAAATGATAAAATGTTTTATAACCAAGAATAACATTGTAGATAACACATAGCTTTCAGGATATAGATTAACTTTAGTTTTCATCATGGTTATTTAAACCACAGAATATTATAAGTAATGAAAAAAATCAGGAAATTTCTCCTTAAATTTAAATTTTTAAAACAATTTTGCAAAATTTGGTTATTTTGCTTAGGTTTTGATTGGATTTTTAAATCAAATTATAGAACACTTTTTACGTAAATTTTCAAGATTCAGGAATAAGTCAAAAATTTGTTAGGCGTAATTACAAAAAAAATTAAGTACAAAGTTAAAATATTACTTTATTTAAAATCCTTTTGTTAATAAATTAGAGGTCATAAATAAAAATATTAATGTCAAAATAGGGAAAAAAGGAATCTAAAAATTATTCTATTTATATATAAAAGAGTTTCAGTGTTTTTTTCCCTTTAGCAGGTTATTTTATTTTTGAATCAAGTTATGCATCATATGCATGAATGTACATGCAAGTTATGAATCACAGTGCAATTAGGTGGGCTAATATTGTAGGGAAAGCCACGCTTAGAAAGAAAAACTGTACTGAGATTTTTTATTGAAACAAATCAAAGTTATTAAGATTAATTTGAGAGTAATTAATGTTGTTGTTTAAACTAATGTATGTTTAAGGGTGCATGTAAATAATAGTTTGTTTATTAAGAAGGAGAAACACATTACAGAACTTTCCAATGCCCAACTGTTAAGATTGTGCTCGCAATATTCTACGTCTCATTTTACTAAACCTTAGAAACATAATATGTCTGAAATTAGAGCTTAAGTAAACCCCTAAATAAGACACTAATGAATTATATTTTTTTAAACGAATTTCGTTTATTTTTTCCCCTTGTGCTGTCTAATTGTTAAGAAAAGAAACCCATTCTCTCTATAGTTTCGTGCTTGCTGTACATATTTTTTCCTTCCTAGCTAAGAATCTGAAATTACTGGAATTAACTCAAAACATTATAAATCGTACTTTTAAAACTTACTGAAAACATATTAATCTTACTTTCAAAAACACTAACGTTTTAGGTGAAAGTTAATTGATAATTGGATTTTATGAATACATATATACTATTTTAATATTTCAAATTGGCATGTAATAGTTTCTTCAGCTACTACAGAACATAAATCCAAAGTTACTCTTAGGTTCTGCGTTTTTTTAAAATACAAAATTTCAAGTCCTTGTAGAAAAATATAAACATCTATGTTAAGGAACTGTTATCTAATCAAAATACTTTTTTTATTTTGTGGCTAAAAAGATAAAAATGCATGCACAGCCCAAGAGCGTGCTTATGTCTTGATTAGACATAGTCGAAGAGCCTAAATCATTTGATAGACGAATTGCATGACTAGTGTGTGTAAGTAAACCTTCGATCGAATATAACAGGTTACCGTTGTGCATCGACATTTTTATGTTTGCTGCATATATTTCATGGAAAGCAAGAAATTTGAAGGAAAGTACTCCTATATTAAGGAAATTTTGTTTTGTTTAAGCTTTGAATTCTTTTCAATGAAAACAAGTTATGCTTCAGAATCCTTTTCGAGAGGCATATTTTTCAAAACATATTTAACCATGTAATTTTTCCTCTTCAAATTTTCGATGTATATCGGAAATTAGTAACATAGAAAAAGAATTTCGAGTTCAGAGATTATAGAGAGCATACACATTTCAGGAAGGATTAAAAGTGTTTTTCAGAGAAATATTTTTAAGATTACCTGGGAAAAGTATTAGAGTTTAAAGAAATTTTGATATGTGTATGATTTTACCGTCGATTTACAGTATGAAATCTATAATCCAAACTCTCTATCTTAACCCATGGAAAGTCCACAGAGGCTTACAAAATGCACTGGTTTACAGTTTTTCATCGGTTTTTAGTGTGAAATCCATTATGGAAATCGTCAGTTTAACCCTTGGCTAAGTCTACATTCTGAACTGAATAATGGACATTGCTAAAGATTTTATTTAGTTTAAAACAATATGCTGTAAAGTAAAGCCTCATAAAATGAATTCGATCTCATAAAATAATTACTGCATGGAATCAAAATAAATTCGTTTCCTTTTCAACTAAAGTGATATTTTTCAAGAGCTTGACTTTTAACATCGAAATAAAACGCTTTTAATCCAGATGGTGTTTCACGGGTTCATGTGATACGACGATATTCAAACGACTTTCATATGATATAGAAATAGGTGAATCGGTTTCGTGCGACTTTTCGAAGCAAATAGTTTTCATTTGGCATTTGTAGCTTTGGATGTGTAGCGTTTTATGTTCATACACGGACTAAGGATATGTACCATTTTTTTTAACTAGATAGTGCGGTTTTCTCGATATTTTCATGCCCTGCCGATAAAATTTATTAAAAAGCAATTTATCTAGTTTAAATTAAAGCTATAAGTATACTTTTACTAGGCTTAAGTTATTTTTCATCACCAGTAGTCGTAGACAATATGATGAATGCTAGAATAGTTATGGAACTAAATTGTTCGAGTTGTTCGATTAGTGTTCATATCTTCAGTATCCAAAGAGTTATAAAGATCATGAGGTAGCTGATGCATGGAGTAAAGAGAACATTTCTTTATCTCTCGGGCAGATACAGAATGTTTCTGAAATATGATGAAAGTACTGTCGTTAAAATATTTATGAAACGCTGAAAGAATAAGCAGTAAAAGAACAAAGCTACTCTAAACTCTGATCCAAAACTACGTAATGGAATGGAGGAAGTTTTGTAGAGACATTAGGATTTTTTGAGAAGCAGGAAAGATGAAAAATATGCAACGCCTTCGCCGGGAATCGAACCGCGCACTTCTGGAATACGCGCCCAGCATGCAGACCATCACACCACGAAGGCATGCCAAGAAGGTGGGAGAAATACTTTATATACTCCCTCTTTTATAGAGCAACTGGGGTTTTTAGGAGATCCAATCGCCAAATCCTGGGTGTGGAGAATCATCATCCAACATCCTTTAGTTCGGGCGCCATTGTAGAGACATTAGGTTGTTTCGAAGCAGGAAAAATGAGCAACGCCCTCGCCGGGAATCAAACCACGCACCTCTGGAATACTCGCCCAGTGTGTTGACCACTACACCACGAAGGCATGCTAAGAAGGCGGGAGAAATACCATATAGTTTTAAGATAAACTACTAAAAGACCATAATGGATAAATGATAATGGTGTATTCAACTTGTTAATTTCGTTAAGCATTTTCTGACTCCTTTCTATGCAATGATTAACTATCGATCTGGGTGTAGGATTTCATTGTGCCCTTTTCAACTCAAGAGAATATGTTTAGCATGTTCATACTAGAGTCAGTCAAACGACTTTGGG